TTCTTTGCCACAAGAGTACACTGGCCAACTTGGTTTCCTCCAGGACCCCTAGGTCTTTTTTCACAATGCTGCTTTCCAGCCTGTTGATCCCCAGTATATACTGGTGTTTGGAGTTGTTCCTCCCCAGGCGCAGAACCTTGAACTGGCCTTTGCTGAACTCTGTGAGGTTCCTGTCACCCCATTCCTCCAGGGGTCAAGGTCCCTCTGGATGGCAGCACAACCCTCCGGTGTATCAGCCACTCCTCCCCATTCTGGGTCATCAGCAAACTTGCTGAGGGTGCACTCTGCCTCATCATCCAGACCATTAGTAAGATGTTAAATAGTCTTCCAGTCTACTCAGTACTGACACCTGGGGTACACCGCTAGGTACTGGCCTCCAGCCAGATTTCATACCACTGACCACACCCTCTGGACCTAGCGAGTCGTCCAATTTTCAGTCCACCTCACTGTCTGCTTACCTCACCCATACTTCAATATTTTAAGCATTTTTGTGGTGGTTCTTAATTTCTGGTTTCTATCCTACACTGGGATTGTGCATGCCAAGGTGCTATGACAACGACCAGGCTGTTGGTAGTTCTAGCTAAAATCAGGACAAGGAAATGCCACAAACCTCACAAAAAAGCCTGTTCTCATTATATTTTCTGGCCAATTCTACAGACTGAAGAGCAAAAAAATTAACCCTGGTGTCAGCCCTGCTGGCATCTGTGGAGTCACGTGAGGGCTGCTCAAAAGGGTGAAGTAGCTGGGAGACACATCTGAACTTGTAAATGCTTATGCAAACCAGATATGACCCCCAAAATCTTTAGAGATTTACGCATCTGTAATGTTAAATACAAAATTAGCAATGGAAGAGATGCATTAGCCAGCCTATTGCCTGCCAAAGAAGGATGCACTCCCTATAAAATATTTCAGGATGCCTTTTGTAGCAAAATCTACAAGGATTGTAATTCAGCAATGGAAATCCCATCACTTCCAGCGGAGTAGAGCTTGGAGGCACTATCCTCCCTGATTTCGTTTCGTATAGCCTGCATTCCGGGGGAAAGCTTCAAATCTGATTGCAGGAAAATTTCCAATCTCAACTTCTAAAAACACCCCTCCAAAAAAGTAGTTCATCCAAAGCTAGTGGCAATAATCTCAACTGCCTCTTCCACCATAGACACACCATTTTAGAAAATCTTCAGTTTTAGCACAACTTCCGTTGTGATAGGCTGGTCCAAAGAGGATCTGTTCCTTTCCCACGTTCACAAAGATATAATCATGGAAATCTGTGAGCAAAGTCTTGTCCCTGAGTGGTTTCACCCAGATTGAGTCCAAAATCATTAAATCACGGTATTATGTGACTCACAGCTGCAGCAATAACACATCAAGGAGACTGGTGATTGGGATAGCTCCATGTGTGCAAGGCCTCCAAGGCAGAAGACACAAAAAGCATTTCTGATGCAAAAGCAGAGGCATTCCTTATAAAATGAGGTGGCTGCACAGCTGCAGCTCCCACTGCCTTTGCCAGGGCCTGTATTACCCAGCTGCTCAGCAATGAAGAGCATCTCCCAAGGAGTATGGGACTTGGCAGCACCATGGTGAGAGACACTGAAGCTCCTTTTTCCCTGCCATAAATCAATGCCCAATTTGAAATCATTTATCCTCTGTTACCCCAAACATTCTCCCAAAGCCACTGAAGATCTGGGCCCACGCATATTCACTGTTCATGCCTAAATCAAACACTGTCTCCTATCATATAGAGACATATACAAGCATCTGAAACTGATGGAAGTGTTACAACTCATATGTTCATTGCTCCTTGCCAGATGTCAGCTGAAATTTTAAAGGAAGTAGGAACCAATAAACATGGTCCTTCTCACAAAACAGCAGTTTAATAGTTATTTGTATCCCCTGGTGCTGTAAAGTCCAGCCATCTCCTCCAGATTTAAATTTTCAGCTAGAAGATATGAAGGATTTATTACTATGCTGCATGGTTTAACTCTACTCATCAGCTTTTCCTGACAAAAAAATTATGGCCAATTGGGTAATTTTACAGGCTATGGTATACAGTAATTCCTTCAGTGCATTTCCTTCTAGTTCCCATCTATGTGATACCCAGAATAACGGTGCTTTGGGTTTGAAGTTTGACTTAATCCTTATCACAGGCTTTGTGTTTCAGCAATGCAGAAATGGGATTTAGAACTTGCAGTTATGAGACCACAATGTTCCCCATTTCTACCACAGCTGCCAGGGGCAAAAAGGATTCATTCAACATGTCCGTGATACCTTTTGTACTATTCCTCTTGGTCCCGTCAGTGGCAGGCTAAGATTCCTTACAATCCAGTGATCCCTAATGGTGAGAGACAGCCCCTTTCTCAGCCACAGAATGCCCCCCCAGTACCAACAGATCAGCCTCACAGAAAGCCAGCACTGGGCCCTTCCATCAACAAGCTGCACAGAGCTGGCCCCATCACCCTGGCTAACAAGTTTGCCAAAACTGCTGCCCACTTTTTACTAGCACAGACCTCAGAGAGCTGAAGTATTCACCTCAGCTCCGTGCCTTCAACAGGAAAAACATATTCTCACAGAAGTAAAAAACCTTTCAAGCTCCACAGTATTCACAGCATACTGATCCTCTTTTGCTCACTTGTGAGCCCTGGTTTTCAGCCAGACCTCCACCTTGCTTCTACTTTGGTAAACTGGTAATCACACAAGGCTTGATTCAACAAGGAACAATTTTAAATCTATTCCTAAATCAGCAAAGCGATTCAGTATTGTATAGAATCCCAACAAAATAGAAGTATTTTGCATTCAGATACAGTTGGTCAAAGAACTATGCAAATACCAAAACAATCTGTTCAAACTGACTCATGCTTTATCTAACATGCAGCAAAAGCAGACAATTGTTGAATTGTTGTGCTCTGGAATGGCTTTGCCTGTCAGTCTTGCAGCTTTCCAAATATCAGGCAAGCAGCGTTATGACTCACTTTTGGAATTCAAAAAAACAAATGTCTATCATGTGTCGTGTGACTTTTATGATCCATGAAAATGACCATAGCATCCAACTGTCGTATTACACAGGCGAAAGGAGTAAATAGCAAAAAGGAGGTCAGATCAGATTAATTCTTTCAAAAAAGTATTTTTTCCTTCCCCCTCAAACCAAGGAAATAAAAGGGAATTACTGGAGGTGTTGTCAGCTATAGAGAACAGTTGAGCTTTTCCACTGGGCACAGAATCCTCCAAGCAATCAGAGTGCCTAAGTACAGAATTTACACAGATGTTTTTGTTCTGAAAGTAAACAAAAATCCAAACTTCTGAAGTTTACCAAGACATTAAAAAACTCCCACTGATTTGGTCCCATTACATAACTGTATGTAATAAGAATAAAGCAAATCTTGATTATGTTAAAAATATAATATAAAATACTTAACTGTAACAAAGTATTAAATCTGTCTGTAAACACAATATTAAAATTAAACCTGAATGAGTTAAAACATTTTAACACGTTCATAGTGAAATGAGAAACCCAAATAATTCATTTCACCATTTCCTCAATGAGTAGAAATAAAAATACCTCCAATTAAAAAACAGAAGAAAATTCAGATTTGACAGTTTCCCTTTCCACAAGAAAACCTCACCAATTTAACAAGTCCCCCGAAATGTGTGCTTCAGTAAAAACCTGTTGTTCAAGTCTCTGTTGGCTCTGTAATTGTAATTCATGCAGACAGTAATTATTAGTGCTGACTCAGCCATAAAACAGGTCCAAATTTGATTGAGAATTCTGTAACTTGGATTTTTAAAGGAGATATTTTGATGCATACAGTGTTAGAAAGATTTGTTATATGGAATTCCATTTCATATCATATTGGATCTGCTTTTCTGTCTAGAGCGTTGTATGAAACAAATGTTATTACCTTTTACAGCATTTCATATGTGTTTAAACACTGACAAGAGCAAGAGTAATTAGCTAAATGCCTTATCCCTTGCCTCTTTTTTTAAATTAAGATTATGATGAGTTATGCTCAGAGATATTTTTGTACATGTTAAAAATACATATATGTATGCAAAATGAGAGTAAGTTAACATTACTATCTTAATTATTAGTACTGTATGTCAGGTTAAATTGATACATATTTTTAATTAAGAGACAAAAAAACAACGCACTTGCCAGCTGTACTCTTCCTCATATCAAAACCTATAGATTATCATAATTTAGTATGCAGCAACTAATCATACTTGCAAATGTGTTTCAAAATGTTCCATTTGCCCTAGCTAGCTCTATTCGCAGTCAAACTTCTGTTGATAAAAATACAGCATTTTATTAAATGAATTTAGGACTGCTCTTCCAAGTTTTAGGCAAAACCAAAATTCAGTTTCATATCCAGGGTTTCTCAAAGGCATAATTTATCTACGTAGGAATGGGTAATGACTTATTTATACACTACAAAAAATAAGATGCCAGTAGCACCTTGAGCTTCAGCAACATAACAGTAAAAGCTGTTTGACCTGAGAATTTAATAGCTATAGCTTGGTGCAAGAGCAATTCCACCAGCCTGCTGATTTTTCATTTTATGACCACGGCAAAACTTTTGTTCTGTTGGGAAAAAGTTGTTCGTTCTATGGAGGAGGAAATAGCAGTGCCATTTTTAATACCTAAAACCCTCAGCACAAAGCTGTGCCATTTAAAGATAATTCCAGCTTTTTAAAACTTAAATCAACTTATGATCCTACTTATACATAAAATAGCCAGTAAATTACCCTTTGCATTTCACTAATGAACATTTTTAGTGCTAGCAGTATCCTTAACAGCCAAGCTCACTTCCAAGCAGCCTGATATACTGTCATTAAATTTGAACTTTTAGTCACTACAATAGTAATTGCAAGAGCAATTCATGGGATACAAACCTGTGCTTCTGTCAAATGCTCATTCATCTGCTCCATACACAACAGCAGGAGAGCTCTAATAGTTTAAATGCTTTGTAAATGAGTTTATTTGTATACTTAAAGCACTGAATACATTTTGCCCTAATGCAAAAAGCAACAGAACTCCAAAGCAATCAGTGCAATCAATGCAAGCGATTTCACCTGCAGGCCAGTATACAGCTTATCTTACTGTGCAACTGTCTTAGCAACATGCTTCTAAATGAATTATTTGGCTTTTCAGTCACTGTAGGAAAACAGTTACAAGTGTGTGTTGCTGCTGACGTGTGTGTGTGCATGCATGTGTGTATATGCACGCTTATGTGGCCTTTGCCAGAAATGATGAGAAACAGATGTGCTGTTGAATTAGTTCATTGTAAATCTCATACAATTTTCTGTTCTGCTCAGATTCATGTGGAGGACTGTAAACCCCCGAGGAAAACCCACGGGTCCTCTTCTTGTTGCTACATTCTGGCCTGATCTGCCAGAGAAAATTGATGCTGCCTATGAGGCCCCTCAGGATGAGAAGGCCGTATTTTTTTCAGGTATTGGTTTTAAGTTTTAAAATGTAAGTAGCCATTTGCGTAAATGTTGCGTTTGGGCTCAGTTTCCTCTGAGTTGTAACTGGGCCAGGGAATGGCCTGCCCAAGAGCCAGTACAGTCAGTGGGTATGGCTGACAGATCTCAAACATCCCATGCTGAGGATTTTAGGACAAAAACTGGATCTGAAAGACTTTGAACAGAATTCAGCCTCCCTTACAGCAAAGGGGAGCTATAAGCACCTAGAAAGATACATTCAATAATATGCAAGACTAACCAAGAATCATTATTTAAAACAAAAACCAACAACAGTGGGAGCTCTGTTTTATCAGTCACTGATGTATTTTTTTCTTCTTTCCTCTCATATTAAGCTATTGTCTCTGTACATGTTGCTTAAGAAGATCAGACCTTACACACACACACACACACACCCATGCCTTTCCTTGTCTCCTCCTTGTTTGCCAAGACTGACTTCCACTCTGGCTTCCAAGTATCTGCCTTGGTGGCTCATCAGGGAGAGGATACAGGCAGCCGTGCGAGCCGCCTCCATGGGAGAGGAGGATAACAGGAAGCACTACCCTGTCCGTCCTAAGTCACACATATGGTTCAGCCATACTGGCCAAATTACTGGAGCTGGAAGGCTGTTTTCAACATGAAAAACTGAGCCAGCAAAAACTGGGCACCAGTATCTACTAAAAACATGACTAAACATCTCCAATCATGTAAAAACCATATGGCCAATACTGCTGTACATTTTCTGTACAGGAGGGGAAAGAAAGTAATGATAATCTATTCCACATGTCTCAAAGGCCATTTGCTTTAGTTTACATGGAGGGGAAAAAAAAAAAAGCTTAAAAATGTTTTATTTCAGCCAAGCCAAAATACTTTAAATATTGCATATACTATATATAATCCTATTACATGTACACCTCTCTCCCTTTCTTTATAATTTCCAGGAAAATGTAACTAACCTGCTTTTAAAAAAATAAATTAATAAGAGCTGTCAAACAAAGAAAGATTGGTTTGAAAATTACCTGTAACCCAACTAAAACAGTCTTAAAACACTGAGACCCACCCTTTGCTCCTGAATGGTGAAATAGTAACTTCTCAGGAACACCAACGCTACTGTTTACACTTTTCTCACATTAATATTTACTTAATTTCTTTCCCACTAACTCTATCTCAGAATCAAATAAATGTCCTTTCATGAATGAATCTTCCCATGGCTTTCAGTGAATCCAGTGAGGGTACTTACTAAGTAAATTACAATTTACGTTCCATGTAAAGAATGCAGAATGAGACCTCTTCCACTAGCACATATTTGTAGAGACATTAGAAAATGTCATATGACAAAAGACAACAGAAACAGGAACTCTAGGCAAAAACTTCCTGTTAATCACTCAATAAAAACTGTTGAACAAAACAAACCATGGAGTTAAATTGCTGAATAAACCAAATGGAGAGCAAGTATGAGCTTCTGCATTTGACCTCCAGGTGCCCATGCCTGGTTTCAGACCATCTTCATACAGAAAATACTATTTGCTTTAACATAACCCCAACTGTACCTTTTTTAGAAGTAGCTGCACATTAGACTAAGACAGTGTCTGCCTCAAAGATGAGACAGCCAAGAAGAGAGGGAGCAACAGTACACTGAGGTGATGTCTTTTGCTGAGAGGCAAGGAACACCTGAGAGGCAAAAGCAGAAATTGTAATCAGTGCAGTACACCTGCACTCTAATCTAGTGCTTGACAGATGGTAAAATATGAGAAAGACTAGTAGCGCAGTTAGTGCAATAAAAAGTCCCATAACAAAGCATAAAAGAAATACTCCTGTTTAATAAATAGTGTTTGTTTGCTTTGCTTTCTCCCCTACTTAGGAAATGAGTACTGGGTTTATTCGGCCAGTAACTTGGATAGGGGCTATCCAAAGAAACTCACCAACCTGGGACTACCCCCTGATGTGCAACGCGTTGATGCAGCTTTTAACTGGGACAGAAACAAGAAGACTTACATTTTTGCTGGAGACAGATACTGGAAGTAAGATGCATTGAAGTGGTGGTGGTATGCTGTTAGCCAAGCTGTGTGCCTAGGGCTGAATGCACACTGAGGTTCAGGACGCATGAACTAAACACAGGGGTTTCATCCTCTGAGAATATAAAATTCACGTTGACAGTGGTGAGCAAGGATGCTGAACCAGGGTGTATGGGCAGAATACAGCAATGGGAAACTAGTATGTGTTTGAGAAAACAGCTTGCAAGGTAAGAGGATTTCTGGGAGTCTTTGTCAGGCTGCTCACCACTTACAAGCCACCCCTCAACCCCTATGGATCAGCAACTGCCCCACTTCAGTCTCAGGCTCTTAAGAGGGGCAAGCTGTCCCTACCATCAGCTCACAACTGCTGGGAGAAGACTTTGAAAGGAGTTCCTTAAAAATACTGATCTCCAATCACTTGAAGCCAAAAACTGACCAGATTGCCTGTGAAATTCTTTCACTAAGCCATCAGGTTTGGAGATTCTGGATACAAAGAAACAGCAGTGTGACTAGCAAAGCACGTGGGGACGACTGTAAATCCTTCCAGCAGCTGATATACCAGTCACTAACATATCTGCCCTACTAATAGAGCTTGTCACTGAGGAGAGCTGAACAAACCACAAGAAGTATATCTATTAGTACTTTGGGAAAAATCTTAGCTTCAATTAATTTTGACAGTCTCTACAATCCTTTTCATGTCTCCACTACATGTTCAGAGAAATTTTGGTTGCAAAGAACACCACAAATGTGGTATTCTGCAAATGCATGTAACTGTATTTGCACTAAGATTCCTGTTCAAAAGACTGTATGAGAAGCAAAATAGGATGCAACATACAGGTGACCTGCTCCCATGCTCTGTCAAAGAAAGATTTTGGACTCTTAGACCAGGACAGAATGTCCTTAAAATGTCTCAAGGCTATTGCTGTGGTAGAAATAAATATGCTATATTACACTCTAGCACAAAAGATCATCTTAAAAAGCAGAGGCAGTTTGGTGCTTTGAGGAACTTTGTGAGTTAACTCTGTGCTGCCTATCAGAACGGCATGAGAACAGAGACACTAACTCCTGCTTACACCATCAGAGGTCCCTTCCAGGAACAGGACTTTGCTTCAGGAATGCAGACATTACACAACAGGCTGAAAGCTGAACCATTAATTAACTGACAATTTAGAGGAAAGTTAAACATCAGAAACACTCACCAGAAGTCTAAAAGCTTCTCCAAGCTATAAGGGTTGCTTCTGAGAGATGCTCTGTATAAAATATCAAAGGAGGTCTCAGTATAATTGAGTCCATTTTATGTGAACGTTAATTTCACGTTATGATTAAACTGGATGAGTGTCTATTATATCCTAATGGCTGCGGATTCCTGTAAGTAAATAAAATACCCTTTAACAATTGCCACTTGATCATAACTTTCAATTACTTTGATGACAGTACTCTTCTCCATTATCTAAAGAAAAAAAAAAACCTTAAAAGCTAAAGAATATTATTCATTTTTTAATATCATATTGTAGAAATCGTCTTAAACACTTGCAAGTAGTTTGCAATACTTCGGATTCCTACCAAAACCTACAGACTATGAGTTAGCATAGCTGCTCATCTCCTCTGTACCAACTATTGTTTTGATTAACTGTACTCCAGGGCCTCCAAGTAATTCATCACTCTAATCACAGACAGTATTTCTATCAAAGTACCTTATCAATTGCAGTCACTGTGGACTGCATCATTTATTGTTAAGGAATAAAAATAAGCTTAAGTGATTTTTATCTGTGTACAGAAGCAAGCAAGCAGTTGACAAATATTTCAGAAAAAATGCATCTCTCTACCACAGACACTATAACCCTTAAGTATGTGGCTGGTTTATTTCATACAAGGACTGTGCCACATGGAATCAAAATGGTTACATACCATAGTCCTTCCTGTGCCATTATCACACTTAGTTTAAATGGATTTTTTGGAAGCCTTCTCCTCTCCCCCCTTCCAGCCCCAAGCTATTTTAGTGTTATAACAAGACTGTTTAACAAAGCGAAGTTTTGTGAGGGAGATCAGAAGAGGAGCTGGCTCAGATTCCAATGCTGAAGTTTTAAAGTTACTCAGCAAGGTACTAGATTTTCTTTAAATATCCAAGGAAAAAAATAGTAATTTAAATTTATCATTTAAATTTATTTCAACCAACCTACTGCTCATTTGTACTAGTGTAATTTGGATATAATCCAAGTATTTCCATACAGCAATGAGGGAAAGGCAACCCAAGATACATACAGATATGGATAAATAGAAATCAAGAACATAAATGCTTCCCTCCCTGCAGTGCTAGTCAAAGATGACCTCTCTGAAGTCCACTGCTCCTGAAGAGGTGCTGCTAGGGCGACTGAGGCCTCCCGTGCGTTGGAAGCCTGGTTCAAACCATATCCCATGCCACTGATCCTCAGGACACCTTCACTGCTCCTGCTCAGCACTAACCGCCATGTATGAACCAGAAAAAGGGGGAAAACAGCCCACAGTCCTCCCATCTTCACTCTCAAGGACCTTGCATTCCTGGGACATTTATTGCCTATATATATGGAAAGGGAGATCCTGAATTACCTGCTTGTGGGAGTGTAAAATTGGCTTTGCACAAATCTATCTTTGCATTCTACAGTGGAAAACGCACAGAGTAAATGAAACAACTGATCATCTGCAGATGTGGATACAGACAGATCCACTCACTTCTGAAGGACACTGCAAACTAGATGCAACTTCCATGGAGTAAGGGGGATTGACATCAGCTGAGTTTTTCCTCTTTAAAGCACAGATTGTGAAAGCCTTTGTGGTTTGGGGGCTTTTCCTCCCCAAAGAAAAGTATATACTTTTAACTTGGCATTTTTCTGTTGATCATCACTGAGAGAGAGACTTTGTGAAAATAAAAGAGGGTTTTAATGAAATGTTAGGGAAAGTAATTAGTAATTTAATAGCAATCCATCAATTACATGGACTACAAGCATATTTCAAATAAGATTTTAAAAAGATAGCCATTTCACATTAAAACCTGCTATCTTTAGATGTTGGCTGCTATCTGAAAAAAGTTAACCTTTCCTAGAATTATGTTTGGAATTTTAAAGCTACATTTTTGCAAAGGGTTTTGCTTCAAAAGTGTATTTTCAATTCAGCAAGAATTACAGTTCCAAAAGCAAAGATGTAAAATTTCACAGGGTTTTAAAGGAGTCAGGAGTAATTATAATGAAATAGAAACAATGTTACCATCTCAGTTACAGTTCTGTTTGATTGTTTTATATAGTCACATTTGCTGAGGACCCCCTGAAAATTTATGATCCCATCCCTGGAAACATTCCAGGCCAGGTTGGACGGGGCTCTGAGCAACCTGATCTAGTTAGCAGTGTCCCTGCTCCTGCAGGGGGGTTGGACTAGATGACCTCTAGGGGTCCCTTCCAACCCAAAACATTCCATGATTCTATGATTTTAACATTAAATACAGATTCATGATGTGGGGATATAATTTTCTTCAGGTACAATGAAGAAAAGAAGAAAATGGAGCTTGCATCCCCTAAATTCATTGCTGACTCTTGGAATGGAGTTCCAGATAACCTCGATGCTGTCCTGGGTCTTAGTGACAGTGGTAAGCTGCAATTCTGACTTAAGGCAGTAGCAAGCTCTCTTATTTGTCTGCTGTGAAAGTTATTAGACACTAATTTCTTATGGTCCATGAGCAGGAGCCAAACTGAGCCAAATTCCCTTTCAGTTTTGCAAACTACTGGTTCAAACAAACTTTTTTTGTCTCTTTATTTTCCCATTAAATATCAGTCGATAAATACCCTACTAACCCCAGTTTAAACTTTTTTAAAAGAAACATTTAGGGAATATGACCTCTCCTGAATATTTTTATCCAAGCAAATAATAATAATAGTTTTGCTAATTTCCCTTTTCATGAAGGCCTTTTAATTTCAGTCTCCTACTACTTCCTATCATTTACTTCCTTGATGCTGAATACTTTGCAAAGTTTCACAAGGCAAGAAACAGCTTTTATTAGCATCTCCCCCCTTTTCTTCCTTGCTTTTTTTTTTAAAAAAAAAGACTATATATCATCTTGTGTAAGTGTCTTGAAGCATCTTACTGCTTTCCATTGCTATGTTGTGCAGGTCTAGAAACCTGCTACACAAATGTCAGACAGGACATGGAGGAAAGCAATCCGTGATGCCACCACTTTTATGTCAAGTCAACCCTGATGCTCAGATCTGGGTTCATGTTGGTTTCCCAGTTTGGGCATGGGGAAAAACAGCTCTGTGGAGAATTCTCTTTCTAGTGTAGTTTGAGACAGACTAAAGCGACTCCTGCCACCCAATGCCTGAAGTACAGGATGTCCTAACATCAGGAGGCATGACGGGGCCAGCACCTATGGCTTGGAAATTTCCAAACTTCTTGACAGCTCCATAAGTTCCTCAGTACCTGCATGCAGTCATAGCGTCATCCTGCTCTAGCACAGCCAGCACTCAAGTATCATAATCTCCCTGATCACAGGCACAATGGGTTGTATTCTGCTTTTTTTTTTTTTTTTTTTTTTTTTTTTTTTGGACATCCTATCAGCAGCTGAGAGCCTGGCCCATGGTCTTAAGTGGCCTCATATTTTGCAGAGATACACATAAATGTCTGGAAGCACCACTGATATCACATGAGTCTCAACTCGATTATATTTCCAACATCTCTTTTGCCAGCAAACATTTCTTCCCAGAAAATTCTGGCTCACAAATGGTAACCTGACTTCAGGCCCCATTTAACAAGACCTATTCTCCAGGATGAGAATTTTAATGTATTTTTAAAATAAATCTTTTTTTATTGTGCATATTTTGGGAAATAAGTCTTACAGTTCATTAAGCTTCATGAAATCAAACAGACAAAAAAGCTTTGATCAAGAATTAGGTGCTCCATAATCTGAGTATGCTTTTTTATTTCCCTTCACAGGATATACCTACTTTTTCAAAGATCAGTATTATCTACAGATGGAAGACAAGAACTTGAAGATTGTTAAAATTGGCAAGATAAATTCTGACTGGTTGGGTTGCTGAACTGTATGAGATATTAATAACCAAATATTTACTTTTTTGTTATATGCCTTATCTGTAATTAGAAATAGATCTGAATGCTAATTACTGGACCAGTCTGGTACTGGCACCAAAACACTAAGTACCAGTACTGTACACGTCAGATAATTTAAGAGTGTTTGCCTCCCCAGTATACAAAAAGATGTTTACGTATATATCCTGGTACAATTTTTCAGTTTTCATGCTAGTCATAGTAATGCTAGTAACAGAACATCCATCATTCTTTATTCCCCTGGTGCTTAAACAAAGCATCGAAACCATTGAAGACTGGATCATGCCCCTGTGTGATACACATCCCAAACAGGCTCAAATGATATGTACCAGCAGTGCACTTTGATGTTTATTTTTTTTAAATACAACTCTGTTATAAATAGATGGTTTGTCTTGATGTTTTTCACCCTCTCATGAGTTTGATCATTACTTCCATTTATTTACATAATAATACAGAAAGACTGTCAAAGGCACAGGTTGCCTCAGGATTTGATTTGTGTTGATGCATGATGGAATCATGGCAAGAAACTGTGTTAAAGTATTGTTTTAAAGTACTTTTTTATTTTAATACCTTAGTTAAATTTAGCAATTTGCTTCATGCACTTTGTTACTACTATATAACTTGTTTATATGGACGGAATGACTCAGATTCTTGAAGTCAATGCATTATACATAAAAGTCAAGTATTATTGTTTAACTTGTTTTATTTTTCTGTTCTTTATAATATTGGGGGTTTGTTCGGTTAGGTTTTTTGCTTATGCATTGGGCAACAGAAAATGTTCTTTTCACAATCTGATGGAATGTTTCTCATTAAAAAAATAAAACAGAAAAGAATGTCCCACACATGAAGTGCCAACAATACAAATAAAATCAAATTACACTGTCAACACTTCTCATGGCCAGGTTTCCTTCTATCATTTGAAATTAGAAGTTCAGTAGCATGTTACAGAGAAATACCTGTCAAAGACAATATTACCCCAGTATATAACTGCATACTGGATTTATTTAGAAACGTAGGTTATTTTCTCTGTTAGTTTTAAGATGTAACTGCAGCAATTTACATTAAAGAGATTATATGGTCCCACTCCAGCTCCCTGCCCATGAAATGCTTTGCGAGACTCTACGGACTGTATCATGCAAGCAGTCAACCCAGATCTTTTCAACACACCTCTTGCATTGGGTCCATGGTTCACAGAATTGCCTAATAACCAACTAATACCTGAGCCAATGATCAACTGGTTTCTTCTGATGTCCCCTACAACTTCACATTTACACTCAGTGCTTTCCTGTTCTAAGCAGAGTTTTATTACCATGGCATTCTGAAAAAATAGCACTTCTAAAGTGGCTGCATTTACCAAATCAACTCTCCTTTGCACACTATCCAGTTATAACTCCCACTTTGGGAAGCTGTTGATTACTACAGGCAATTCTCATCTGGATGAACCAGTACTATTTTCACCTCTGCCAAAAGAAAGATGGCTTACCTCCTTCTGAGCATCCTCATTCTCTTCAGAAATCATTAATCTCCTTCCCAGTTAGTTCTGCACCAGAATCAACAAAATAAGGCACAGAACAAAGTGGCTGTAATTGCAAAAGGTTAGTGTTGCAGTTTTTACAGACACCTGGCAACCTTCTCAGGATTGCAGGATCTACTGAGCCACTGCAGGGATATATGGTCTGTCTTGACTGTAAACAGCTTCTTATATTAGTGTTTAAAATATTCTGTAGCTTTAATGACTGCCAGAAGTTCCTTTTGAGTGTTGCAGTAATTTTTCCGTAGAGAATTTAAGCTCTCACTGTTTTAAGCATCCTCAAAAACCATCCTCTCAAGATTTTTGTTTTCTTGTGTCAATACTGCACCAAGCTGCATGCTCTACAATCTGTATTTAATGTGGAAGGGTTTTAGAATATAGATATACTAGACAAACATTTGCAATGGGCCTTTTCAGCTCTCTTTCCCATTTGTAATGAGTTAACCATGAGGTAGAAAGCCCTTGCCTGAGCAGCATTGCAGCTCTGCCTGTACCTAGCTATGTCCCATGCCAGGCTGCCCCACTGACTTGGTTCCCTGTTGACTTTGGACCTGCCCCATCACTACGGACTTCTTTGGTGATCCCTGGACTCCTGGCTGAACTGGATTACCCTCCCCAGGCTTTCTCTCTTCACCTCTCTCGGGCACTGCGAGACTGTGCCCTTGCCAGCGAGGCCACTGCTCTTGACTTTCCTGCCCTCAACATGCTTCTCTAAAGACATTTTCAGAATTCAACTGAGATTTTTACCTACCTTCTTTACAGAGGAAGAAACAAAGCAGAAATGTTTATCTCAGAGCCATATAAAACCCAACACAAAACTTGTTCTACTTCTACAGCTTTATTAAATTGAAGTCAGGTTCACTTAGGACTTTTTGATATCAGGCTAGAGTTGCACATATGCTGCACAGGGGCTTGTTGCAACATGGATAGAGCTCAGACACTCTTGCTCCTGGAGCTGAAGAAAATTTTCTATCAGTTATGAGCAGGACAGGCTGTACAAACCCAGTAGGGCAGCTCCAACCCAGGGGAGTAAAGGGCAGCGGTTTAGTAACTGGTCTGTCACAATACACAAAAAGCAGCCAAGGCTGTAACGAAATGCCACAGTTTAAATACTTAATAGACACAGCAGCCTGAACTATGAATCATGCTTAACAGTTTGCGTCTCACTAACACTCTGTATTTGTTAAAAATACATTTTCTTCCTGCTATTCTGTCATGATTTTACAAAGCAGCAGTTACCCATAAATTTAAGCAATTGACTGTAACTGTGCTGTTCTTTAAATCAGGAGGAAGTAGGTCCTTTGGGCCCATTTTGGACAAATTATTTCTGTTTATGAACCCAGACATGCATGGTTTTGGCAGCAAAGACTAGGTGCTTCTGCTTTTGGAAGAGATGAAGCCAACAAATGAGCAGGCATTGGGCCCTGTGGGATCACTGCAAATGCAGAGATTTATACCTGCAAGGGGAAACAGACTTGTTCCAGACTGGTTATGTAAAACGCTCCTAAGTACTGAGGTATTTCAACATAGGAAACTGTAGTAAGGACAAAAACATAAAACTGGAACAACCCCCCCAAAATAACAAAACAACCAACAACTCTGAGACTCTGTCAGAGAAATAACACAGTCGGGCAGACCTGGAGGCATCTCAAAAGCTGCCGGCAAGGTTCCTGCATACTGAGCCTGCCAGAGTCACATGCTATTACTTGAAATACATCTCCTCCTGGCATTGCCTTTTAAAACAGAAGTGAGAGCAAAACGACATCTTAGGGTAAATTGTCCAGTTCTGAGACTTACACTTGCACACAAACAGCCATGATTTCACGCACAACCAGCCAGGAAGCTGGGTACATGGCTTCCCCCCACCCCGACTTCAACAGCAAGTCTTTACCTGCAGAAATAAATGGGCTCACATTTTCCAGGTATATGATATTCAGTATAAAGAAGACAGTTCAAAAACATCCATTCTCATCATTACATTAAAAATGTTTTTTAATAAGATATCCCATTAGTCTGTTCTTAATTGACGCAAATATTAAGAAACCCTATTATCTCAGAATGCTTTAATCTAATGGAGAAAGATAGGGCTTGAACCATTGCCTAGAAAATAACAGAATCTGAAAAATGCACACTTTACTAGTGGTAAAAACAACAAACCAGTGTAACAGGCAACCGAAAGAAGTGAGAGGCGTTTTTTTGTTTGTTTGGGGCTTTTTACTGTCTTCAGATTAAGACTTTCTGCCTTTTTGGAGAATATACTTCACTTGGACATATAATTTCTGGTGTTAATACAGCATATTTGGGGAAAAAAATCCTGATCTGGACCAAGTGGGGACTGGATAAGTGAACCAGTAGCCTCTTCTAGCATTGAACTGCCTTGGGCTATGAAATTAATTTATATTATTTTAAGAAGTATATAAAATAGCTTTTTAAAATTACATATTAAATATATGCCTGCATGTGTAATGCATATACACACATAAAGAAATAACTCATGGTTATGTTACAATATCTTATTTAATACTAAGGATTTCATATGAATGTTATAATAGAACAGAATATTTGTTTGAAGGGACCTACAATGATCATCTAGGCCAACTGCCTGAATGCTAATCGACCTTAACCTGCTCAGCACATTGCACCAGTTTTTCTCTTCTCCATAAAATATGCCACATTCTGAGCAAAGGACACTCTGATAAAAGTACAAGTACCCAGTCTGCACAGGTGTTCTTCCTTGGTAGCACTAGAGGAGATAACAGTCAGGAACTTTAAAGTAATCAGTAGTTTATTGGTTTTATTGCTCAAACAATAAGTAATTTCTCCACAGCTGCAATAGCTGAATGAGTGACCACTCACGAGGTCATAGCAGCTTCTACCAACACTACCAGGTTGTTCAGCCTAACCAGCGCTGGGAGGGCTGTATCCACACTGCCTGACGATATAATCTCTGGATCATTCTTTCACCTCTTTTTGCAAATCCCCGAACTCCTAATATACTGCTAAAGTTCAGCTTCAGCCAACTTCATCACATGCATGCTCAGAGTCTACCAGACAACCAACAAGTCACTCTGAAAAAAGGGAGATAAGAATAAAAGGCCTCACATCACCACACATCTGCATTTCCCTTGCTAACCCTGCTGCAGACTCTCTGCACAATGAACCAGAGGGTGACGAAACAAAAAACCATTGAGCTTTCAGCTGTCTGTTACTGCCTGGTGCTTTCCTCTGGGACTTCTCAGAACTACTCCTGAGTGACTAACTCGCTTTGCTGTTAAGAATTTGCTAGCACTGCCAAAATAAACTTAAAATTGTAAGAGGATAATTGTTTTAATTTACATTAGCCTGGAGCTTGGCAGTCTGTCCCTGGAGTTATTTGGAGGTGGTCTCCCCTTCCTAAAAGACAGGAATTCACAATATGAAGCTATCCAAGTGGGCTTGTTT